TTTTGAATGTTGTTGCATCGTGTGCACACCATAATCAAACCTTGTAAAGCTCAAAGCCCTGAGGAGATAAAACCCAGATGCTTGGGTCTAAAGACACCCTCCTGGTTAGCGCCGGGATAGCGGCGAGCGCTTCGGCGCAGTTCCCGCTGCCACTCAGGCCGCGGTTTTGTTGCATATTTAATTCTATTTTCTTGTTCAGTGTCTGGCTCCGTGACAGCATTCCTTTAGCCTGATGTTGTTTGACATGTCAGAGTCGAGTCCTCAACGCGGAGCCCTGAGGTTGACATGCTCTGTCAAGGGAGAACGAAGACGTGCATGCACTTGCACAAAAACATGTGGCACAACAATTTAGGCCTGCAGCAAAGGCAAGTTTTTTTTATTATTCTCTTGTTTTATTATTATTTCTCCTCCCTACAGACCCGAAGGACTAGAGGAATTAGTAGCGTTTTGTTTCGTAATCCATGTCAAATTGGTGCTGAGATTTCAAAACTCATAGGAAAGAACAAACACTGAGATTATTTGAGATACAACAGCACGTGTAACTCCATGTCACATCAAAGAAATCGAATCGTGATTTTTCGATCTCAGTTGTTAATGAATTCAAGTGGAAACTTTCTCTAAAGTCTCCCACTTTCTTCTCAGAAAAATACCTTACTAATCTCATTTCTAGAGTTTCAGAGGCGATCAGGCTCTGCAGTCAAAAGAAGAGAAAAGTTATTTTAGATAACCCTATGGTATAGACAAATCACAAAGGAGATCTCATTAATAACTCACCTAGACAATAATGGGATCAAATGCAGAGGTCTCCAACCCTGCTCAACCCTGCATAACCTTATGATAAAAGAATCACAAAGCAGATCTTGTTAATATCCAAGTTGTTTCTCCTAGACAATAATGAGGTCAAATGGAGACGTTAGAGAAAACCTTGCAATTTCTCTTGAAAATCCTTAGTAATCTAATTTCTAGAGTTTCAGAGGATATCAGAACAATTTCAAGCTATGCAATCAAAAGAATAAGAGAAAACTTTTTTTTTTAGATGATCTTATGTGATAGAAAAATTCTAGACAGCAATGCGATCTAATGGAGACTTTAGAGTCAATTTCTCCTTAGAAAAAGACCTTAGGAGAAATTGGAGATCAAAGAAATTTCAAGCTATGCAATCAAAAGAAGAGGAGAAAACTGGTTTTATGGATTTTATTTTAGATAGCACCTAAACCCATGCATTAGAAAAATCATAAGGGAGATCTCAATAACATCTCAGTTGTTTCTTCTAGGCAATATTGAGATCAAGAAGAGATTTCCTCTAAAGTTTCCCACTTTCCTCTGAGAAACATACCCTAATAATCTAATTTCTGGAGTTTCAGAGAAGATCAGAGAAGGAGAAATTGTAGATCGGAGAAATGTCAAGCCTTGCAATCAAAAGAAGAGCTTATTTTAAAATAACCCTATGAGATAGAAACATTTCAAAGGAGATCTCATTAATATCTCAGTTGTTTCTCTTAGACAGCAATGAACAAATAGGGACTTTCCCTTGGTTCTCCTGAATCTCAGATGTTTCTCCTAAGACAAAAGCCTCATGTGAAAAGCCTCAAGAGAACCTCTGTCACTAGCATTCTCTATTCTTTTTCTATTCTATCTTATTGTTTTCTTTTTATTCATTACAAAAAAATGACCCTCTAACGCTAGCATTCTCTATTCTCTATTCTTTTGACTTGTTTTATTTATTTATTTTTAAAAGACCCTCTAACACTAGCATTCCCTATTTTTTTTTTCCGATTCTATCTACTTGTTTTTCTTTTTATTTATAATATTAACTTGTCACAGCACTTGCATATTATTGCCCTTTTGTTGGTTTTGATTGCTTCTATTGTCCTCATTTGTGAGTCGCTTTGGATATAAGTGTCTGCTAAATGACTAAATGTAAATGTAAAATGTAAATCTGTTTCACAACAGATCCAAAAGTGTCCCTAGCATTGCTCATATTTGCCAAGATAAAGTTTGCAAGAGATCTCAGTGTGAACTCATTTTTCAGTCAATTCCCATTTAACCAAATGTGACCCTGAACCACAAAACCATAAGTAGCATGGGTATATTTGTAGCAATAGCCAAAAATACCTTATATGGGTCAAAATTATCGCTTTTTCTTTTATGCCAAAAATCATTAGGATATTAAGTAAAGATCATGTTCCATGAAGATATTTTGTAAATTTCCTACTGTAAATATATCAAAAATGTATTATCATTAGTAATATGCATTGCTAAGGACTTCATTTTGACAACTTTAAAGGCGATTTTCTCAATATTTTGATTTATTTTTTTTTTTTACAACCTTTAGATTCCAGATTTTCAAATAGTTGTATCTCGGCCAAATATTGTCCTATCCTGATAAACCATACATCAATGGAAAGCTTATGTATTCAGTTTATTCAATTTAAAAATGGACCCTTATGGCCGGTTTTGTGGTCCAGGGTCACAAATGATTTGTGCTGCTATTCACACTAATCTCCTAGTGTATTTATGTTATGAATTGTCTCATTTTTGTCAAAAAACAAAACTGATACTTTATTGAAACAAAGAATAGAATCGCTCCTGAGTGATCCATTTTTCAGCAGCATCACATTTCTGCATTGCTTTGTGTTTTTGGTCTTTAGTTTTTCTTCTCTGGCTTTTGTCTCGGCTTGGATACGGAACGCTGTTTCTTTTTCTGGTTCGGTAATGGGATGTACTGTAAAAATCTGCCTTTCCAACGCCACCCACACAAACTCTCGTACTGTAATAAAACAAGCCATTTACTTTTGTTTTCCGCCACTGGTTTTTGTCTCTCCCACTTGACTAGTGTTTGTGTCTACTGCTATTACAGATAACAGCCAGTCCAGAGTCTCGGTTTGACAAGCACATTGTTCAAATATTTATAGTAGCAAGAGAGTTTGTTAAAAAGTAAATGATATAGCAGATGGTTTGGAGGAACAGGTGCGAAAGTCATGATGTCATCGCTGGCAGTGTTCGGACCCTCGGCGGAGATTTCGCTGCGTGTGGCAAAGAAATGTTCTGGATCATCATGTCTTGCTTGAATTGATATAACGAATTCTGTGCTTGTTATGATTCCTTCAAAGTAGGTTGTGTTCCTGCGTCAACATCAGTGTTGATCCTACAACAACATTCCTATCAATCTGATTTTTAGGAATAAAAAAGTCCAAAAGTCAAAAGTTACTGTAGTTTTCAGTTTGTTGCCACGTCTTATGCACAGTTCAATCTATCGCTGTTATGATCCAGCTTGTGTTTCACTGTTAACACTGTTAAGTGTTTTCTCTGCTGCTATTGTGTCCATTGCTCTGTCTCCCAAGCTTTCTCATTTGTTCTCATAGTTACCCTCCTGTGTTTCCATGACAACTGACCACGCCCCGTTTAGCTTGTCTGTCTGTTTATATATAGTGCTTGGTTTCACTTGTGTTTGCTAGACGTTGGATTTTTTTCCTATATTGTTTCCTGGATGTTCCTGGTTTTCCTGTGTGGACTATCTTATGTCATGGTGTGGATTATATGAGTTTTGTCTTTTCTTAATTAAAGATTCTGTCTCTGCCTCATCTGTCCTTTACAGTGGCAGGCTTATTATAGTTTTCATTTTTAATCCCTAATCTAAAAAACACTTTAGATTAGGGAGCACTATTCACTATTAAATATAGTTTTTGACTTTTTTGTATTTTAGGGCTACCAAAGTTAATGCACTAACATTAAATGTGTACTTTATGCTAAATTACTCAGCACATTCTAGTGGCATTTTTATGAAGGCAGTTTGTAAAGGTTGCACGTTTTATGTGTCATGTATCAAGAAATAAAGCTAAAATTAATTTACAGTCAATTTTAGTTCATTTTTGTTTTCGAGTAAATTTTGTTTATTTAGTTTTCTCCAGTTTTATCTTTATTTCAGTTTCAGTGTTATCAGTGTTTTTATTTCAGTGTTTTCATTTAGTTTGTCATAGTTTGTGTAAATAATAAACAGAAATAGCAAAAAATAAACTAAATAACTAGCCATATTGTGTCTGAATTTTCAAGAATTGATTGGTTGCTTTAGTTTTTGCTTTTTTATTTTCAGTGTCGTTTTGTTTCCACTCTGTCATTGTTAGCTTTAGTTTTCTCTGAGTATTCTAGTTTATTTTTTTATTTATTTGTAGTATTTTAATTTGTTACCTGGTATCATATAAAAAATGTTTATCAGCACAGCAAAATGTAGTGTTATTGATAATTACTGGTATTTTTGTTTATTACAGGTAGGTTTTATAAATGTTGTAATATAGCATGTACCAAAAACTAAAGCTATATAATCTGTGTCCCTTTTAATTTTATTTGAGTCAACGTTGGAGTCATGTATATGATGTATTTTAGTTCACTTTAAGTTTTTCCTGGTTACGTTGTTTTTTTTTTTATATTTAAATGGTTGACAAATTATAATTTTTTTTTTAGTTATTGTTAGCAAAAATAAACAAAATAGATCATCAGAAGTGGGCGTTACATACCATAATGTGGTCGGAGGGGTGAAGTCGAAAAGTAAGAGGTACTGATGATGTCACCCAAAGAGGGAAGTTGTTTTAGAGGCAGAGCAAGATGTTATATTTTAAAGAAAGATTACAAAAATAAATATTGTTTCATTTTGAAAAATAACACCAGGAATGTGCATCTGACTTTCCACCAGATCATCCAGTTTACTCGCACAACAGTTTACTTGTTCAAAGGGTTACGCGAATAGCATTGCACGGTTCATTTGGAGCATTTGGCTTCCCATAAATCTCATAACTAAATAAAACAGGCTGCGTGATGATGAGGAAGGATAATTTGGCATGCAGATACGAGGGATGTCAGCACTTCTAAAATAAACGGCTAAAGAAAAACACACTTAATAATTAATATTTTTCTCTCCAGTGGTTGCACATGTGCTTGAGGTCGCTGTGCATTATCTCATGACCGAGTGTGTTTCGTGACTTCTCTCTCTTTCTCTTCCTCAGGTAACGCGTATCAGAGCGGATTGGTGCCAGCGCTGGTTCGAGCTCCTCTGCCCACTGTGCTGCCCTCTCTGGGCATGAAGCACTTCCTTCCCTTCCCTCTGGACAGCGGCTCCACGCTCAGCCTCATTCCCAGCTTCAGCAGCGTGAGTCACACAAACACATTTCTTCTGGAGGTGCTAATGAGGTTCACTCTGTTCTCGCGCTGGTGGTTAGACACGCCATCCACTGGGGTTGGAAGAGAGTGTCGCTTGTGATAATGAGTGCTGGTTGTTCTGGGACTGTTCGTTGTGGAGTGGTTTGCAGTGAATTCTGGAAATATAATGCCAGCTGTTGTTGTAGGCTCGGGTTGTGAACTTCTGAAGAACATATAAGCATCTACTGCATAGTCAACTGGATGCGGGAGATGATAGATGCAGATCTGGCTTATGCATAATAACAATTGATGCTAAAAGAAGAGTAATGACTAATTGTCTTAGTTGATTAAGAAAAGTCACAAAGGACATCTATTGAATGTCTTGTTTGTTTCTCATAGTTACTAATGAGGTTACATGGAGAACATAACAGAGGCCTTTGCTTAGGTATTGTACTGTACTGTACTGTACTGTAGTTTCTGAAAAGAGCTCAGACTCTGCTATGATATCAAAGCAGATATTATACATTTTGTTAATTTTACAGCTCTGTACTTTTTACTGTATGACTCATTTAGTCTGTTTTTACTTCTCATGGAATTGTAGCAATAAAATCCGAGACCAATTTGATACTTAAACAAACCATAACTTAGAGCTCCATTACGTCTCCTGAGTTATGAAAGAGAAACCTCTGAGAAATTTTCACTGTGATGCTGAGACAGCACTGATATGCTCATAAGCATTTAACTGTTCCCATTAGAAAACTGTTCCCATCTTCTTTTAAGCACAAATGAGAATAAATGGAGAAAAAAACATTGAAAGAAGCCTTAACAATATCTCAAACTGTCCTCAGATTTGCAAAGAGACAACAGTCTTTGATTAAAAGCCAGAGACCTCACTATAGGAACTCATATTCTCCTATATATATATATCTTATTTCTCCTAAAATGATTTCAAGGAGAAACATCTTTTTACGAGTTTAAGCTGACTCTTAAGTCAACCATACCTGTGATTTCCATTTATTCTCCTGAGCTTTAAAAGAGCAACCTCTGAGCAATCTAGCCTTCCTCTGGGATCACTTTTTTTGCATTGCTTTGGGTTTTTGACAGCATGAGAAATACATTTTTGCAAGATGCTGGTGTGGCACTGAAGCACTCACCCATCGCGTCACCAACAGTAGGGAACCTCTTTGATTATTTGTGCATGTGCTAAAGTCTGAAAAAGCAGACCAGACAGGCTGTGTTGTCCTAAGACAGCGTATCGCTGGGAGGGAATTTGGCTGGAGGGACAACTGAACTGGCTGGACCTGCGTTTGGAAACTGGAGTGTGGGATTTTTCAAACATGCTGGTAGCAGATGCATGCATGTGGAGCGGAGAGGCACAATCGTGCATCACAGAAGAGTTTAGTCATATGCACACACACACACACACACTTGATAGCAGTTCAGAGAGAGGCAGCGATGGTCGCCAAGGCTGATATTTGCTCTGGATCTCTAATCTGTATTTAACAGACTTTTTCTTCAGTAATGAGTTGTGCATTGGCCATCCTCTGGAGCCAGTAATCTGATACTAGATTAACTCACAGCAATCTCTCTCTCGCTCTTATGTTATGTTGGCGAAGCTCACTCTCATATTAAATTCCAGAGTTGCCTTGATGCGTTTATGTCCCATTCTTTTGTTTTTTTGCTCGGTGCACTTTTGCACGTGGCACAGATGCAACAGTGGATTTGTTTTTGCTGTTCAGGAGTGCAGAAAATCTGCATCAAAATGCATTGTAAATTGCATTGGACAATTTAATTGGGGCACCTCAATTTAATATATTAACTATAAATATTCAACACAACTTTATTGTGTTATGGAATGCAAACAAAAATATAAAAATCTATAAATTCAAGTTATTTATTTTTTTGTATAGCGCTTTTCACGATACAAATCATTGCAAAGCAACTTTACAGAAAATTAAGTTTCTACAATATTTAGTGGTGGCTTATCAGTGGTGACTGTCAGTTAATGTACATATGGCAGAAATGTACGGAAAAAATAAATTAAAGACGTAATCAATTAAAGACGTAATCAAACAGACTAAGCTACCACTAAATATTGTAGAAACTTAATTTGCTGTAAAGTTGCTTTGCAATGATTTGTATTGTGAAAAGCGCTGCACAAATAAACTTGAATTGAATTGAATTGAATATAGTTAATGTCAGTAATACGCAGCATGCACGATACAAGGAAATGGTCAGTAACATCATCACTTTGAGGTATGATATCTATATCAGTAAGATCAATTCCATGCAATATAATTAAATCTAGCGTATGATTAAAACGATGAGTGGGCCCGGTGACGTTTTGCTTGACTCCAAAAGAG